AAATGAAAAAAAAAAAAGAAAAAAGAAAAGGCCCGGAGTTAGGTTTTTCAATAATACTACCACGACGATTTATATTTATATAGCATATTTAATTTATGCACAAAATTCACTTTACCTTATTGTGGGTTGGGATTAGAACATTTCAAATATAATGTTGTTTTGAACTGATTTTGGATGAAAGTGCAACATTTAACTACAAAATTTCTCTTTTATCTCTCATACACATGATTTCTAATTTTTAATATTAATTCAATTAAATCAAAATCTTTAATTATTTATTGTAATTTCTAACTTTTTAATATAATTTTAGTTTAATTATTTTTAGATCATAATGAATCCTAAGTTTTTTAATTATTTATTGTAATTTTTAACATTTTAATTTAATTTCCATTTTAGATAATCTCTTAATTATTAATTATTTTATATTTTAATTTTCTTTTTTTTTAATTAACATTTCAATCTAATTTGAAGTTTAGATAACATGAAGGTGAAATTGTTTTATGTTGTGTTTATTAATTTTTTTCACTAGAAAACCATGCTCTAAAAAATTGTATGTATGATAAATATTCCGTTAATTTGAATAAAAATTAATGGTGACACTTTAGCTCAATATCACTTAAGAACTTTTTAGTTATATTTTAACTACAAGGGTGAAGTGTTCTGGTCTTAAACCACAAAAGATAAAATGATTTTTACCGTTAATTTATTACATGAACGGTCATTGTTTTATTGATAATAAATATGAGTGGTGAGACTTCTTCAACCAATTTAATAAATATGAGAAGAAAAAAAAAAACTAAATATAAGAAATAAATAGGGCAAATTACTAATCTTCCTTGAAATTTGAAAAATATATAATAAGTTTTATAATTTTGACATAATTACATTAAATTCTCTTGAAGTTTTAATTAACATAGTGTCATTTTTAGTAATAATTTATTAGTTATATGAATGAAAAAAATGATATTATAATCCTTTTTATATGACGTTGTATATTTTACGTTGTTTATTTTTGTGCTTTCATATCATTTACATTAAAGTGAGGTTAACATAATTATGTCAAAATTGTGTAATTACTATAATTTCTTCAATTTTTAGAAGAAATTAATGTAATTTACTTAAATAAATTTGAGCATTAATTAACAAATTTTAAATTAATAATGTATTACATATTATATGCACTCTTATATATTATATACAAATATTTTAAATTTTTTATCAACTAACTTAAAGACACTCAACAATAAAAACAATTGTAAAATTACTCTAAAACTCTAGAAAAATGCTTTGAACGAGAAATGCTATGGTGTGCACTTTTAGGGGTGTATACCATATGCACCTACCACCAAATGTGTAACCAAATCATTAAATTTCATAATATGAATCACAAAATGTATAATTTTGTCACAAATTGATGTAACAATATTATAACCAAAGCCACAAAATGTGTAACTAAGCCACAAAAGTGTAGACATTTATTATGCTAATTCGTGACAAAGTTATGCATTTTGTGGTTAATATTACAAAATTTGTTAGCTTGATTATACAATGGTAGTGTTTGGGAACTTGGTTTTTTGGTTTTTTTTTTATTTATTGTTTTTTTCCACTAAAAGACAAATTGGTTGTAAAACAAAAAAAAAATAAATCCGAACAAAATATCTCATCAAATCCCATAATCATTTCACTTTTTTTCTCACAAACATCACATTCAACCACAAAAAAACCTAATTATCTTCCCAAAAAAAAAAAAAAAAAAAAAAAATTCTCTAATAATATCCTATAACTAAAAAAACTTATAAAAAAATCCATTTCCCAAACACTCACATTTAGTGATAAGGTACATATGGTATGCACCCTTTTAGGGATGCACGCCTAAGAATGACAACGAGTAGGGTATGGACTAGGGCCCCCCTACCCCTTCCCCACTCTCATTTCCACTGTTTGCTTGCACCTCTAACCCGACCCTTATGAAACTCTCCCCCCAACCCCACTCAAACCCAAAGCCGCAAATATAACCCCCATCCCCACTCCCACTCGCACTCCCAGCTAACCCCCGGGCATGGGTGTAGGCCGCAGTATTTTAACCCTCAGGCATGGATGTAGGCCGCGGCATTCTAACCCCCGGGCATGGGTGTAGGCCTTTGCTAACAGCGCTCGGCGCTCTGTGCTGAGTGCGAAGATTGCGCTGTACTCGGAGACTTTTGCTGATTTTGACTGGCAACCAGGTGCTAATATGGCAAGGACTTTGAATAATGCATCCTGTACCGAATAAGGTGGACGTGTTAATCACCAATAATATTGCTCCGCTTGTATGGAATTGCCAAGTAGATATTGGGCCAACTATTTAATTGCCTAGTTGCTCAGTTTGCGTTTAGTCCAAGGTAGACTTGCCCCATTGCTTTTGAATGATAGGTGTTAGTCGAAGGAATGCAGATTCCCATTGCCCTATGTTGCAGGGAAGATTCGGCTTTGGTAAAATGACGGCGCATAACAATGTGCGAACTACTGACTGCCAAATATGAATTACCGATTGCCAAGTGCTAATGGCCGACTGCGAAGTGTGTAATGTATTGTCCCAAAACTAGCGCTTGCTTGGAGCAGTGTGAAAAGGAGCGGGAGTGTGTAACTCAAGTAAATGTCGTTGTAATGTTTGTACCAAGTTGGCCGAGTATGCATGCATATCAAAGTTGTCGAGATGATGATTGGCTGATGTGCCCCAATTGGAAAGCGAAACATTGACTAAGATGTCCCAGTAGGCAATTGTTTTGCCAAATAATGTTGTTAGGCAAATAAAGTTGCCAAATATTTTGTTTAACCAAATTTGTTATATGTAAGTATTCAAATAACGAGAAGACTAAGATTATTAAAATAAATAATTTAAATTTAAATTTTATTTTGCATTAAAATTAAAATTATTCTTTTGTAACACATATTATAATATAAAATATCATTATATTAATTAAAATTAACTCCATTGTGATTTTATTTTACACATCATATTCTTAAAAGTGATTTACATACACGTCAAATTTAATATTGATTGATTAAAATAATAAAACTTAATACCTTTTTTGTTAAGTTTTTAGAAGATAAATTGATAAATGTCAAATGATCAATAGTATGGAATATTATTTTACAAAATAATGATTCATAAAAAATGATTGTGTATATTTAAGACACCTATTGATGTTTCTTGAATAATTTTTAAATATTTTTTTTGAATTTATAGTATTACTGATAATGCACTTTCATGAGCTTTGACAGAAAATATATATAAAAATAATTTAGCTGGAATAAAAAATTTACGATTATTATGATGTGTTACATAATTAATTAAATCACTTTAGAATTGAAATTATTAAGGTTAATAAGATTATGTACATGATTCATTTGAGAATACTATTTATGATTTGAATTTATAATTTTTTATTTACAAATGTGAATATTTTTTACGATCTTATTGATATAAGTATAAACTATACCTTTGAGTGAACTCATCTTACGTATTTTTTTGTGTAATAAAGTGGTGTTTTGGAAAGTTAGAAAAAAGTTGACTTTTTAATTTTTTTGATGACTTTTTGGCAAAAAGCTAGGTTCTTTTGGATAAAAAAAATTGATTTTTTTGGCTAAAAAAATTAAAAAGTAAAAAAATTAGCTTTTTACCAATGTTGCCAAAATGTCCCAAAATATTTAAATGTTGTTATATAAAAATATTATAGTGGATTATAATTAAACATCATTTGAAGCATAATTAAAGACCCGGTACACCATTTTTTTTTTTTTTGTTGTTGAGAATATGGAAAGCATTATATTAAAATACAACAACATACACTTTAGACATAACAAAAAAAATAAGAAATTAGTAAAGACTTTTTCGATTAATTATAATAATATGCCATGAGTTATATAACCAAATCATAATTTATATAGTATTATAAATTTTTTTCGATATTTTTAGTTATTTCAGAAAAAATATTTTGATACAAGTGAAATTTATAATTTTTGATTAACACAAATGAAAAATTAATTTGAGGCTGAGAATACACACTTTTTTTATAACTTTTATAATTTTAAGAGAAATTGTTTTTATGAACCTTTTATATAAGATCACACAAAGTGATAAATTTTTTTATTAATCATTACCAAATTTATTTATATTTAATTTTTAATTATTAAAATATTATATATATATACAAAATTAATTTTATATTTTAAAAATAAATTACCATGGGCTCACCTCACCTACTCCTTAATCCTTAAATTGAGCAAAACCTTTGCAGAGGGAGAGATCAGGGGCCCAAAGATTTAGGAAATTTAAGGTGAGTTTTCCAATTAATTGCCTCTTTGCCACCAAAACCCTCTACACTTGCACACTCGGTACCCCACCAGATTTCAAAATTTCGTCTTCAATTCAAACCATTTCGAATATATATATACAGGCATGTATACATATATATAGTCACAACAGAAGATCTAATCCGTAGAGGCAGAAAAATGAAGAGGAAAATCGGTGGAGAAGTCACTGCTACTGATGCCCTGCAGCTGCCATTATCACCTCCCCTCGGCGGCGGAGAAGCAGCACATGGCAAGGCGGCTTATGGTGGCGATGATGAGGCCACGGTGGCGGAGGAGCAACGGCTAGAGGAAGGCGGAGAAGAGGGCGGCGAAGATGGAGAGGAAGAGGAAGAGGAGGAGGGGGAGGGGGAAGAAAAGGGAGAGAAGGGTTACGACAAATTCGATCACCTCGAAATCGATGACGATGGAGAGGCTGATGATACCGAGCGTCCCAAGCTCGAAGAGGACTTTTACGAGATTGAAGCTGTGCGTAAGAAAAGGGTTCGCAAGGTCTCTCTCTCTCTCTCTCATGTATTTAAATGATTTGATTTTTCTTGGCAACACTTGGTTAATGATGATTTTTTTTGTTTTGCTTTACATTTTCTTTTGCTGATTTTGTGGGGGTTGTTTGGAATGCTGGAAAAAAAAAGGGTGAAGCTCAATATCTCATCAAATGGTGCGTGCCCTAACTTATATATATATATGTTTGTATACATGCATACATTACTGTCATTTTTACATACATATATTGCATCTTCAATTCTTAATCTTTTTTGTTTTGTTCTATTAAATTTGAGTGAAAGTTTGGTTAAAATTTCCTTTTACTTTTATCTTTTCCATAACATCTTTGTGAAAAATTCCAACTCATAGTAAAAGCCTGTTTTGACCATTTTTAATCAAAGAAAATCATCACCAATTCATACTATTTTTAAAATTTCGTCAATTTTAAGTAAGAATATGATGGTTTGGAATTTGGTGAAGGATTTAGTTCAAGGGGGAATTCTGAGACAGTGGAAAGTGGGGAAATAAATTACCAAAATGTTTGTAATTATTTTTGGTCTTCTACACTAATTTGTAATTACCTTGATTTGGTGAAAATTTTGTCTCTTCCTTGATTTGATACAAGTTTGATGAAATATTGAATCACACTTTTAGCTTTTTAGTCATCAAATTTGAATTTGATGAACGAATTGGTGAAGGATTAGAGATGCTCTAATCTATTAGCCCATTTGATATATTTGTTGTATTGCTGATTCTATTCATTAAACATATTTGTATCTTTTGAAGGCGTGGATGGCCAGAGACGGCTAATACCTGGGAGCCCATAGAGAATCTTCTGTTTTGTTCTGATGTTATTGATGCATTTGAAGAGAGGTTCCCTCTATTTCCCCCCTTTTAATCATGATTTAATTTTGAGTTAGTAATTCTAGCTTGGGAATCGAGTTGTTTAGAACTCGTTTACTTGCTATGTCCTCGTTTGATACCAACTTCTTTTCTTTCTCTCATTTTTGTTGAAGCTTGCAATCGGGGAACCATAGGTCTTCACGTAGACGCAAGCGCAAGCATGGGGTTACTCACACTCAACCCAAGAAGAAGCAACGGACTTCTCCTGCTGCAGCTACCTATAATGTACCGGCTGTCAAAGTTAGAATTATTGAAGAACCATTGCCCATGGTTCCTCTTGACGTCTCAAGCCTGGCCAATGGGGGTGAGAGATATTTGTGGGCAGCCAGTAATGTTGAGTCGTCAAAGCAAACAAAAGAGAGTGGGTTTGGAGCAGTTCCCACACAAATTGAAGAAATGGAAGATCAAAATGAATTGAATTTAAAGCTTAGTGAACTTAGAGGAACAATGGCCACCTATGAGGAAGATGTAAATAAGTGTTCAGTACGTTACCAAGAAGCCCATGATTTAGAAGGAGATGGTTCTGCTAATGGATTGTCAAAGGTTGATTGTGTGAAACAAGTTCAACCTGGGCGCTTCACTGGAGCTAAAAGGAGGAAGTCTGGTTCTGTCCAAAGGTTTAAACAAGATTCAGCTCTGTGTTTATCGCATGATGCACAAAATACAATGGCAAGAACTACTGATGGCCTTTGTGGAAGCGTTGGATGGCGGGGGAGTCAAAATTCTGATTTTGTGGGAAATGATTTGGGTAACAAGAATAAGTTTGTTAACTCAAAAAATGTGTCTACCATCACTGAGATCATAAAGCCAATAAGCTACTCATCGTCTTTGATAAACAACGTTGAAGATGTGTCCATAACCTTCATGGCCATGAGGTTTGTTATTGAAATCCAATTTTCACTATGTTTTTTATAATTATCTTTACCCTTCTATATTTTTCTACATAACTTTTAGGGTAAATTACATTTTGCCCCATTTATGTTTTGGCCATTTTCTCACTTTGGCTCTTAAAATTTGTTTTTCCCCACTTTAGCTCTTTATGTTTCAAATTTTTTCCAGTTTTCTCTTAAAGCTAACTTTTGTTAAAAATTAGACAAAATGACGGCATAAAAATATTTTATTATATGCAATTCACACCTCTGACACAAACTCAAATCTCAATATAATATATATTTTTGTGTTATGTGACAGTTATCGTGGCATTTTTTGTCTAATTTTGAACATAAGTTAGCTTTAGGAGTAAACTGGGAAAAACTTTAAACATGAAGGCCAAAGTGGAAATAATCAAACTTTAATGGCCAACGTGGAAAAGTGGCAAACATAAAGGGGGCAAAGTGTAATCATAAAGCTTTATTCTTGGGCATAGTATAGGTTAATGGGCTAAATAGTACATATAAGGACAAGTGAAATGCTAACACATCGATTTTCATGTAGGGCAGGACACTATACATCTAGGACACAATAAAAATTTATGTTTTTATAAATTTATTATATGTCAAATATATGAATAACGTTTTCAAAGGTAATGAAAAAAGTAAATAGAATACTAATTAAAATTAAAAAAGCTATATATTCTATAACTTAAATACCAATATACTGTTACATTACAATTGCATTCTAAAGAATGCAAAACAATTGTAAAACAATAAAATAAGTATAATGTATTCATTTTATAAATTAGCTGACCCCCCATTTGATGGGACTTAAGGCTTGTCTTGGTTTGGTTTGGTTTGGTTTGGTTTGGTTTTATTCATTTTATAAATGTTTCAAAATATATTTGTAACTTATGTTTAGAGGGTTAAGAAGTGTTGTTGAAGTGTTTGTAAAATGTTTGATATTATGAATTTAATTTTTTAATGAAGACACATTGAAGAACTGTCAGATACGCTTTTAGGAGTGTCCATAGTTTTGATGGTGTTTGACATGACACATCTCCTCCATAGTAGTGTTTATGTTTTGCCAATATATACTTCATAATATGTTGACTTGTGTAGGTATGAGTGTCCAACTTTGTCACATGATATGACCATGTCATCTCCATGTGGGCATGTCCCATGATTGTTGTGGTTATATGGATCACCCCCACTATGTGGCCAACCCTATGGGTGTCATGTCATGTCATGTCCCATGTAAGGGTCTTTGCCCTCCATATGGTAGGCCCTCAAGGATGCCACGACATCTTCTGTGTAATTCATTAGGATAATGTGCCTAGCCTATGCAGGGGTACATCAATTACCAAGTATGGTTGTGTGGCCCATTAGTGCTCTCCTCGCCCTTGTTATCGGTCAAAGTGTCTAGTGAATGAGTTAGTATGGAGAGCCTTAAGGCAAAGCCAAGGGGACTGCTCAACCTAGCCAAGCTGAGCTATTCCTTCTCGGCCAAGTCCACTTAGCACTGGCTTATCCTACGCGTGAAGAATGATCTAGGTTTCTATGGCTCAAGATCACTAGAGTATTGTGGCTTAGAGGCTTGGACCAAAGGCTTGTGGTGTAGAACATTGTAGAGGAGGAGAAGAGAGAATGGAGAGGAAGAGGACAAGAGCCACAACTCTATTGTCAAGGTTGCAACCTAACATTCAATATCATTAATCCAAGCTAAATGTTACAAAGCAAAACATAATATTTGGCTTTATGTGATACGGGCTGGGGTTGGCTGGCTAGGTTTAGTGAGTGGATTGGGAGACTTGGCTATTTTTTTTTTTTTAATTTGTTGGCTGGGCTTGGGCTTTATTTATTGGGTCAGAAGCTATGTTACATGGATCGTTCCGGTACATGGAACAGGAACAGGAACGGGAACGTGAACATAGTACGCTACATACTCTAAAATCTGGTATGATAGGGGTAGACTTGGATGTATTACACTTAAAATTTGAGGTACTTTTAGAGTAATTTTTTTTTAACTATTAGACATCTAGTAAAAAAAAAAATTTCTTTAATTTTTGATCTTTTTGTCTTGTCAAGACTTGACCTAACTTTGAATTTTAGTTCATTATATTCGATTTTTTTTTGTGTGTGTGTGTGTGTCTAAGGCAACATTTTAGGAAATATATTGAAAACAACTTTTAAGATCTCTTCGGATCACTAAATTTATTGTCTTGAAATGGAAGTGCACCATGTTTTGGAACGTGCGTGCCATTACATAATTTGCTAGGGTATTAGCATTTTCTAATAACATTGGTCAGAAGCTTATAGGTTGGGTGTGGGTGTAGTTTTTTTTTGTTGGGGTGGTTGGTTTATTTTGATTAGTGCGTTAGTGATAATGGGTTTGGGTCTTAGGGGAAAATATTTGGGTCGAACCAAGACAAAATGGGTCAAACAAGAGTTAAAAGAATTAAAAGAAAACTTATTGCTGGTCGTCTTCGACGGATGACTTCTTCATTGGTCGTAGAGCAAGCTTTGTTGATTGGAAGAGAAGGATCACGACGAGAGCTTGTAGTCATCTACATGATGGAGAAATAGTGTAACGGAAGGATGCGATGTGATGATAGTAGTATTAGTGATTGAGCTCTTTGTGGTGGATCTTGGCTCGCGATGGCAATGACAAGGGAGAGGTGGGGTGATGGGAGTGCTAAGATTTCGATATGGTGAGTGACGGTGACGAACAACAAGGTCGTTTGACAACGTTGACTATAGAGCTTGACGATTACACTACAAGTTTGTAACAATGAATCGATGTTCGCTCTGATAACAAAATGTTGTTGAACACTACAAAGGAAGAGAAGAGAGAATAAGGGATTGGAAGAACACAAAGGCGACAAACCTAATCTCAAAGGCAAGCTTAATCTCAAAATTTTATTTTATTTTTTTTGTATATATTTTTATTTGTCATGTAGATTAATATTACATCCACAAACAATCAAAATTAACAAAAACTAACACTAATTCAATGTAAAAAAAAATTCTTATGTTAGCTCTTATTGTTTGTGTCTTTTAATTTATTATTTTTATGAATGATCTATTAATTATTTAAATTTAAGCTAAAGTAATAAACATTCAACATCCAATGTCCATAAAAATCACTAAAAAAGAGGGGAAAAAAACTAGTTGGTGTCCCCATTGTGTCCTTGACATATTCCCTATAAACAAATTAATTAAATAAAGAGACACATCATGTTGTGTGTCTCGTACATGTACCCATGTCGTTGTCATGTGCTTGTGTCTGACACCATTACGTCACTTGTTTTGGAGAGTTGATGGTTCATAGTGTAATTTTCTAGCACTTATGATATACCATCTGAGGTATCATAAATTACTCTACAACCCCCATGATATGACCCTTGAGGTTTGAATTATGGGACATAGAGGTAGACTTGATACTTATGTTCTATTGGAGCAAGAAAGTTGACCATTTGTCCATAGCTAAGCTGGCCTCCAACGGTCTTGGACCTTCTATAAGGGGGTATCCATGCATGTAAACAACAGACACAACTCGAATCATCTTCTTCCCCTTTTCAGGTGACAAGCTGTCATCCTCTCCCTCTAAGGTTGTTTTGGTTAATTTCTTCTTCACCTCAAGCGATTTCTTGCTATTGAAGTGCCTGCCATCTTTCTAGAGGTTCACAACTGATTGCCTCACTAACCATTGCCTACAATGGTAGTGCCACATGTGAGCCTTGTGGGGTGACATGTGGACCACTGGCACACCTTCACATGCTCCCTTCTGTGGTCAAGCTGGCTGAGCCAAGCAAATGATGCTCTTGCCTTGATTCTCAACAGTCCCTTAGCTTGGTTGAGGGTTCTTCACTCGAGCAATTGTGCTATCCACTCGTGGTTAACTTGATTAATGTCTCACTGTCTTGATTAAATGACTTCCTAATCAAGCGTATTGCCTTATCTTTGTCCTTCCAAGACTACGGCACACTCAATATTTTGCTGAGCATGCCCCCTCTATGACACCAAACTTCTTGTACAATTGCTCCAGTGAAGAACCCTCAACCAAGCTAAGGGACTGTTGAGAATCTACTAAGTGGCCTGTTTTCAGCGGTCTCCTATCTTTTCACTTGTTTGCAAAAGACACCCTAATGCTACATTGCCTATTCAAGTTGTGTTTGTGCCAAGATCATTAGGGGCTTGAGTGACCCAATGACCTTTGCTTGGGATTACTAGAGGATTTGTGGTTTGGGGATTGGAGTCGAGAGTTCATCAATGTGCCTCACCATCCCTTCCCTCTTGGTGGGGACTTGACCGAGACACGTGAGGTGTAAGGAGTATCATACAAACCTGACTTGTGTCATGGTACAATCTTTGAGATTTAACATATCTACTCATTGCAGTTTCATGATGCTGTTAGCTAATATGAGAGAAGATATGTATTATTCCTTTAGCCTCAAAACCAAACTATTAACACGGTTTATACAAAATAAATAGAGAACAAAACACTCTAAAAATCACTTGAGACTAAAATTCCTTTACAGTAAATATGAACTAACCAATACGTATCACGAACCTCTCAAACTCATGATGTGAGCTTGGTGAGCATCAAGAGTTCATCAAATAAAAACTAAAAAAACCAGCGAAAGTGTGAGTCTTGGTGAAGAAGTCCACAAACTGTAAAGAGGAGAGAAGATATGGTAGGCAATTGAAGATCTTGACGGCAAAAAATGACAATCAATCTCTATATGCTTAGGGCTCTCATGAAAGAGTTAAATCTGGACACAATAGAGATGAGTAGGAGATGACAAGGAAACACCTAAATCAGAGAGAATCTAATGAAACCAAACAATATCAAGAGTGGCATGAGCCGTCGACGATACTCAACCTCAAGAGTAGAACGAGTAATAATTGGCTGCTTTTTGCTTTTTGAAGAGATAAGAGAATTACCAAGAAAAACACAAAAGCTAGTAGTGAATTTGTGATCAACATAGTGTTGAAGTGTCCAAGAGGATGTATAAAAGGAGCAACAAACTCTGAAATATAGTATCATAACACATGATGTGTAATAAAGCAGCCCAATGAGTAGTATGTGGTGCAATAACAAATCGACCCACCACATGAACATTGTACACATTGGACATTCCTTTTGTAGTCAAGCGATGTGGGACTTTGCTTCACACCATCATGCCAAGTTTGCAGGGCACAAGTCACACACCCTACCCATCCTTATAGTACACGTCAAGCTTTGATACCGTGTTGATTAATAAGAGAGAAATTATGTATTATTCCATTAACCTCAAAATCAAACCAATTACATCATTTATACAAAAGAAATAGAGGATATACGCTAATAAACACCAGACTAAAGTACTCCTATATTAAAAATAAACTAAGCAATACATGTCACAGATACGACCTTAAACTCCAAGGTCTGACCAGGGCACAACATTTAGTTAAGCTCTAACTGAGCATAACTAAAGTTGATATGAATTTCTTTTGTTGTTAAGATTCATTTTCCTACCGTATTGGAGTCCATTGTCTTCAAGAAATGTTATAGAAATTTATTTAGTTGCATGTCATATGATGGAAATAGAATTTTTGCATGAATTACCCAATCCATGATGCTCTTTTGTGAGCATTAACGTTTAAAATTGTAGTTTTTGTTTCTGGAGGTCTATACTGGGAGTTCTTATGATTTGACATTATTTAAAATTGTAGTTTTTAAATCATTTTGAAAACTCAAAACCAAACAAATTGATATTCTGTGTTTAGTTGTTTGATGAATAGCTAGCTGCTAGCAAATTTGTTGTCAATAGGTTGATTTACTCTCCTAGTTGCTAGGCAAACTGGTTAGTTATCCAGGTGACTGTTTGGGCTATGGATGGATTTGTTTCTTCAGTTGTGTAGGGCTTTCAACAAGATTTCTTGACGTATCTTGAGCCATAGAAATGCTATGATGTAGACGGCTTCCTCTTATTTTTATTTATTTATTTCTAAAGCTGAGAAGTTGTGAACATTGGAAAAATGTAGAACCATGCTGTGAAGCCTAATGCTGTAAAGAAGCATCCTAGCAAGGGATTGTGGGTTCCCTCCATGTTGATTCGTTAAGTGGAAAGCAAAGGAGGATGAAAGAAAATGAGCTTATTGGTTTTTTATGTTTTCTTTTTTTTTTTGAGCATGTAATGGTTTTTTATGATAACTCTATAGAAAAACTAGCAAAAGCCATGGGGTAAAAGAGTAATTTGATATTTGAAAGAGAGGAGCTCTTCCCTCCCTCCATGCTATCCAATTTTGGGTGGATTGGTTTTGTTGGGTTGTGGAAGACATCTCCCTCCTCTCCTTCCTGTTCTTCTGCCTATTCTACCAAAGAAGGGAAGGCACTTCTTCCGCAGTCCATACCCTCTTCACCCTCCTCCTTCCTTCCATCTTTCCTTTGTACTGTATTCCCGCTGCCCCCTAACTAAATTGTATTAGAGAAAGAGCCAAGGGGGCACTATCCTTGTACAAAGGAAGGATAGAAAATAAAATAAGAAGGAAAAAGAAAGAAAAAGAAAAACTTACTACTACTCATGCCTCTAAACTTGTTTAGATGCTTGACAAATTGAGGCAAACAAATTACGCCATAGTGGGAAAAATTAACAAATGCAATAGAAAAATAGGTGACCATGTTCAAAAAACTGTAACCATGTTGTTGACCCTTTTCGGATTATGTGTTAAATTGAATTCCAAAAATGGTCTGATTAAATTATTTTTTTCCAAAAAGGATAAAGGAAGGGAGAAATAAAAATAGAAAGGCCAAAATTAAATTAGTTACTTGCAAGTCAAATGTTAAGAAATAATTTACTTGTCAATTCATATAGTTTTTAGAAGTCTTGTTGAGTAGGTTGTGGTGTTTAGAATGATTTTGATGTTTTACAAATATACACTACTATGTGAGGAGAGAAGTTGATCAACTTGCTATGGAATTATTATCATTTTTGTTACTCTTTTGAATGTTTTATTTGTCTCAGTGTGTTTCAACCCTATCTTTATCTCCTAAAACAACACATCTGTGCATATTTGCTTTTATTATAATGGTCAACAATATAGTAGTTTCTTTCTTTTTAAGTTACTCATTAGGTAGAGTTATTAACTGAGAAGCACGAACACGAACCTGTGACACAACACCGACATGGAAATTTTCAAAAAATTAGGTTACGACACGTGAGGGACACTTGCAATCTATATTATGTTATATATTTATTATATGTAATATAAGGAGAAATAACTATTATGTGTCATATATATACATATTTATGTTAAAGATAATCATATTTAAATTCTAAAGGAGGAGAATAGGTATAAATTATATTGCTTTTATTTTATCATTGGATTACAAGTTATTTTATTCATATTTGTACTGTGTTTCATGTGTTATGAAAAGACCGACAAGTATCGTGTCGTGGCGGTGTCTGACACGTTATTCAACACATTGCCTTGTTAAAAGTGTATGTGCTTCTTAGGTTATTAATATATTTGCTTTGGAACTAAGTTGGTTCACGATTAATGAATATTTATCAATCACTAGGGATTAATAACTTTAGTTATCGAATATGGTGTGCTGACTGCATGTTAGCTTGTTGAATAGGGCTTTTCCACTTCAATATTGATCCACTTTTTGGTGACATTCATATATAGTGTTGCTTTCAATATATTTGGGGAACACTTTAGTTCATGACTTGATGAACAGTAATAATGTATATGTAGCCTTTGTAAGGGTTATTATACTTTAAAGTTAATTTTGGTTAAATAGAATAACATTTGATGGTTGCCTTTGGGTAGGTCTGATGGCAAAGAAGTGATGGTTGATAATAAATTTCTCAAGGCTCACAATCCCCTTCTGGTAATACTCCTGTCTGCTGTGTGATTTCTTTTTTCTTTATCAATATTGGTGTGAACTAAGACCTTTTTTCTTGGATTGAATAGGTGGGATTGTATATCCAAATGTTGTGTTTAGTTGTCCTAAGGCTGTGTTTGGATCTTGGATTTGCAGAGGGAAAAGAAAATGAAAGGCGAAAGATAGGAAAGAAAATGAAATGAAAGGAATTATTATTATTATTATTTTTGGCCGGGTTAGGAAAATAAGAAGAAAATGAAAGACATTTGTCAACAAAATACTATATATATATTGTTTAATTGCCCATAAAAAATGAATCAGAAATTTCATTTTCCTGTTCTTTTTTTCCCCTTCACAAATCCAAGATCCAACATAGCGTAAGTGTGGCCTGGATATGTTATCTTTACTACACAGTAATCGTACAAAATGAGGGATATGGAATCCCGCCCAAAGAAAACTTTGTGGGGAGAGGGGGGATGTGTATCCTTTAATTTAGTGGGTGGTGGGATAAGACTTGCAAACTCCATATCTTTTCCCATGCCAACCAAACAAAAGACTAGTTGTCAGTGCCTTATATCTGGGATGTATAATCTTGGGATTATTCGTCCGAGGTATTGCCTAATCATGACAAATTTATCTGGATTCAAACACAGCCTAAAATGTTTGTGTAGCTGTTCTGTTATGACCATGGGCACTACTGTTAATATTATTATCGTTATTGATTTTTCTATGATGGCAGTTGATCAACTTCTATGAGCAACATCTGCGCTACAGTGCTACGCCATGAGTAGATAGTTATGGACGAGAATGTGGATGCTGGACCATGTCATCTTCGCTTTTGTGATATACAGTGTTGTAATTTGTACCTGGATGCTATAGTACAGGTTAAGCCAATGCAGTCGTAGGTTAGGCAATGCAGTAGTGAACTGTGTTAGATAGCATGATGCTGACTTGTATAGCAGCAATTACCTTGTTTTATGTCTTTTCCTTCCTCTTTTGAATGGGTATGAACATCTTGTTTATCCACCTACCTTTTTATATGGTTTTGTACATGGAGATCATGACTGTAACATGTAGATGATGATAAAACATTTGTTTCACGCCCTTAATATTCATATTTAACTTTTTTTTCTTCTGTTTGCTTTGTGTGTATATCTGAAAACATGTAGGACCTAGTTTGGATTATGCTATTGATCCTGTTTGAAATATCCTCTTTGTTAATAAACTGTTTTAGGGCAGTGGATTTGTTTTATTGTTAACTTTGTAATTTCAACAAATCTTATAAACAGCAAGGGAAGGCAAGCTGAGGCAGTGTTAAGGTTGTTTTGTTAACAACTTGAGTGTCATAGGATGAAATTATAGAAACAATATCTGTGTGTGCAGGAATTTGATTGTGTACCTCTAACTATCTGCGAACAGTGGCAGGAGTCTTGTATATTGAAATTGTTCTAAGATTGTTACAAGGATTTTCAGACATTAATGTCAAAATTTCCGATTTTTCTATTTGAGCTCTTGAATACTGATTTCTACACATAAATAATCCCTTTCTCTTTGAAGGTGCCATAGCAGTATACTATACATCCTTTAATTTTTAATGAATTTAAGCTCCTAGCAAACTCGCTTTCTTGAAATTGACATGTGATGTTATTTACATTTTCTGTTATTAGTATTTTCTCAAAAGAAGACAAGTGTAGTGATAAAAATTAGATAGATATGATTATTATTATTGTTAATGTAACATCTTGGAGGCACCAAAAACAAATTGGGTGCTATCGTCGACATTATTCTAGTTTTTCTTCATATATATGTATTTTTTCTTTGAGACCTTTTTCACATGTCATTATTCTAACAAACAAAGTCTTAGTTGGCCTTGAGATCGACTAATTACTTGTGTCCAAATTAACCATCTTTTTTTAGATGGGAAAGCATCTGGTTTTAATCAATCCGTTTTTCTATATCAAACCTTAGTTCAACTCTCCAGGAGGTTGTGTATAACACAAATGGGAAGAAGAGGACCATCACCACTAGTTCCCTTTTTAACAGTGGGTGTTCTTTGTATGGCCGCCTTTGGCCCTATCGCTCTATCTGTAGTTAAAACTGCTGTATCCGTACTTGAAACTGTATTACCTCTCCTTCAACTATGGCAAAAAATTGGAGGCTTTGCCTTACTGATTATGCTTCTTCTCATCGCATTGTTGCTGCTAATACACTATCAATCTGTTTTTCTATATCAAACCTTAGTTCAACTCTCTAGGAGGTTATGTACAACACAAATGGGAAGACGAGGACCATCACCAGTAGTTCCCTTTTTAACGGTGGGTGTTCTTAGTATGGTCGTCTTTGGCCCTATCGCTTTATCTGTGCTTGAAACTGTATTACCTCTCCTTCAACTATGGCAAGAAATCGGAGGCTTTGCCTTCCCGATTATGCTTCTTCCCATCACGTTGTCGTTGTTGCTGCTAATACACTTTCTCTCTGTTTTCTTTCCATCACGGAGCATTTTTGTCTACCTCAGATCAGCAACTTGAGAGCTCGGGTTTTGATGCCGAAGTGTTTGGTTTGGGATCTTTACTTCTAGTTGTGCTCTTCTTCATTCTGTATAATGTGATCTGAATTGTTGTTTTTATTTCAACGTTTTTGTGTACAAACGGACCTACTAGCTATATTTCACTAGGAAATTGTATATACTAAAGTTTAGATTTGTTTTCAGCTTCAAAGTTTAGGGAAGAGCAATAAAACAAAGGCTGGTTTCATACCCAGATGCTATGTCAACCTTGATGCAGGGACAGGATTAGGATTTCATCACCGGAGGGGCCCGCCTGAAGATAAATAATACTTTTTCACCATATATATAAACACACGTATATGTACAATATGATATATAAATTATATATATATATATATATATAAAACCAAATACCATAGAAACAATCTCTAATAAGATGATGAATGTTTTTTGGTAGAAAATAAAAAGAGAATGCAAAGATGGGAGAAGAGTGAGATATATATCTTTTATACTAAGAGATCATTTTATTTATGAAATTAGATATATATTTTTAAAAGTGCTTTTGGCAAATATAAATTTTCACAAAAATAGATATCATTGTGGCACAAAAACAAAAAAGTAGACCTAGAATTGTGGGTTTTCATGCAATTAACCGTTTACCAAGTACCAAATAGACTCAAAATTCAAAATGTAATTTTTTTTAATAATCGAGAATCAAAATATCATTAGTGTTACACCAATTAAATTGGATATTCAAAACGTATAGGAAGATAGTTTAAAATCATGTCTAAAAATTGGATTAGATGTAGAAATTGTGAAGTTCACACTTTTAAACATTCTAGTACATACAACGCAACAAAGATAACTTAATTTGCTACTGAAAAGCAACATAATTAAGTAAAATTACAAGAATGGAAGCAACAAATATTTTTGCAACTTTTACAAACAATCACAAACACAAATTATTCAAATAAAACGCTATGCCATGGCATCATATGACATCATAGCATTATTGTTAAAAACATTCATCAAAATATAACACAAGCATCCTATTTATAACAAACTGTCACCTAATGACTCAATTAGGACCTTTTTAAATACATAAACTTGTATTTTGATGTAATCAAGAACATTAACCAAGCATGCAATCCTTCATTTTCCCTCCGAAGTCAAATCTTTTCACCATTGGTAGTTCTTTCTCAAATCATCATCAAGCTTCAGTATCCTACAAATCATGTGTAACCATTTGATTTTGGATTAACAGCTGAAAGTTTAATATTTTGTGTAACAAAATCGACCATGTACATTTGTTTACTTCAAAAACCAGAAGCATAAACATGGAGTTATCCAAAGCAAAGGCAATTTTTTTACCTTCATCCTTTTGCATTAAGATCTATGAATTGAGCTGTTGTGGTTGCTCTAATTCTTACTGTCAATTCCTGCAGATTAAACGATAATGATTGTAAGCATGATACATGATAAAAAAATAAATGATCTATGAAAGAAGTAATTTCTCTTTCTCAATTCAGTCTGCATTTTCTATATACGCGTCATACAAGAGAATAGGAACTTCAGTAAAAAGAGGAGAACAAAATTTAGAAATTATCAAAAAATGTTGATATATAATACTAAACCAAATCAATGGGAGAGGAAAAATAGAAAGTGGATGTTACTGACAAAGTGAGCACTAACCTTTACAGCAAATAAATTGGCGATACCAAGGTGGTGAAGATACTTCTGTTTCGGCATTGGGATCAGGAATGTCCTTGGGATGGTCAATCTCTAGATCAGGAATGTCCTTGATGTTTGGCAAATCTGGGCCTAGGTCTTTTTGACATTGTTTCACCAACAACGGACAACCTTCAATGTGCAAATGTTGAAGAGAGGTTGGAGGACCCTCCTCTGGCAATGACTCTAGTGAGGGACAGTCATCGAGGTAAAGATCCTTAAGAGAGGTGAGGTTCCTCAGCCATTCTCTGGGACCTAGGAACTTGAGACCGGGGCATGAACCAATAGTAAGACACTCAATTGTTGCAGGTAGCCCTTGTTCCGGCAGTGTCACAAGCTGGGGACAGTTTCGGATGGATAGAAGTTTGAGAGAAGGCAGGCCTTGGACTGATGATCCTTCTTCGGACAAAGATACAAGATCGCTGCAAGAATGGATGTATAATGCTTTAAGCCCAGAAAGTTGTGGCAACTTTGGAAGACAGGTTAGTCCTGAGATGTTGGAAATGACCAAGGAGTATAGAGAACTGGTTTCTGGAATTTTCCTCACTAGTGTTCCACCATGACAAGCATCAAGTGCTAAATGCTGCAAGCGTCGAGAGTGCTCTGGGATTGGGAGGGCATTCAATAGTTGACACTCACTTATCTCTAATTTCTGAGGAAAAAAGAGTTGTGGTAGTGTCGTCAATTTGGGACATTTAATGACTTTTAATTCTAGGAGATTGCTAAAGCTAGATCCCAGCAGAGCCACAACTTCTCCTTGATCATTAACGAAATGAAAACGCCTTTCGTTCCAATCTCCCAGAACAGGATTGTCAACAAGTATAGAAAATCGAAGAGAGGGGGTCAATGGAAGGGTCTTCAATGAGTGACACTTTGTGATCTTCAGGACTGTCACGGAATGAAAGATGCTGGGCAACTTTCCTAGCTTGGGGCAGTTGCTAATCTTCAGATGGAGGAGAGAAGTGTAGAGTGCCTCTGGCCATTCTTCCAATTCTAGCATTCCTTTAATGCGGATGTCTCTTAGTTTCTCTAGCTGACCAAGAGGCAGGACTTTGCATTTTGAACAATCTTTTAAGGAAAGCGTTACAACATTTTGAAGCAGCCCATCTCCCATCCAAGATGGAAATCTGGTACCCTTGTAGCAGAAAAGTTGGAGCACTTGGAGGTCTGAGTGAGGTTGAAGGTCTTCAAGCACCCTTTCATCAGCTTCTTCATCCTGTGAACTACCATCGCTGCTGCTCCATTCAAACACCACCTTTTGAAGCTTTTCTTTGTCTTTCAACTTCGCGTCTGCTGCATTCACTGCATTCTCCAGCTTTGAAATATGTAATGCTCCCTTAAGACAGTTCATATCCTTCAATTCATCAATTCCATAACCAGGCTTATCGATGATCTGAAAAGCATGCAGATTCTGGAGACGAGTTAATCTCCCCATACTTGGAGGCAATGTGGATGACTTGACCCAGAAAATATCATCTAGCTCGAGATGCTGCAAGTTGGTCAAGTTTCCAAGGTCTTTGGGCAGTTTGAAAAGCCAAAGGCACCCTAAGAGTTTTAGTGTTTGCAAATTGTGGAGGCTGCATATGGAGTTGGGAAGTTCTTTGATTTCGGTTTTGGAAAGATCGAGGTAGTACAATAACTTCAACTTTTCAATTGAGTTTGGCAACTCCATCAGTGTGCTTGAACTCAAATCTAACACACGTATGTATTTCAAACTGTGGAACAGTTTGTCAAGGGCTTGCCCAAAGGCCTTATGGTGTTCACTGGGCAGCAAAAGTGTGCGCAGCTTCTTAGATTTCTCAATGATTTGTAAAACAGGTTCCTCCACATCTTTGCAAAGTAATGATACATGACGTGAAATTTCAGAGACATGGCATGATTTGTTATCCTTGACTTGGTAGCAATTGGGGAATGAAATCGATTGTGCCAAATCATGGATAAGATCATGCATCCTGTATGTCTGCCTGTTTTCAGTATCTAAAAGTTGAAAGAAGGACCTCATTAACAACTCATCAAAATAATCACTTCCAATTTCATCGATTGTGTCTTCTCGTGATGTAGAAAGAATAAAGGATTCTGCCTTCCACAATTTGACCAACTCATTCTTATCAAACATATAACCTTTAGGAAATATGTAACAGTAAGCAAAACAATGCTTTAAATGTGAAGGAAGAAGGTCATAACTCAATTTTAGGGCTGGCAAAACAATTGGCTCCCCAGTGTTGGTACTTTTTTTCTCTGCCTCCCAAATCTCATTCTTTAGGATGTTCTTCCATTTGTTTACGTCATTGTTACCACGCAACAAACCTCCCATTGCCTTGATAGCCAAAGGCAACCTATCGCACTTGCGTACAATTTCCCTACCAATGTCCTCCAAACGACTACGCACATCGTGGGCTAAAATGTTTTGTTGTGTAAAGACAATTTTTTCAAACAATGACCAACACTGGTCTTCGGGCAAATAGTCCAAGAGATAGGGTTGAGGCTGTGTGCCGGTGACATCTAAGACCCTCTTGTTTCGACTAGTGATCAATACTCTACATCCCTTTCCCCCTTGTTTTAAGAGTACTAGAAGTCGCTCCCAGACATGATAACTCTCAATCCACACATCATCTAGGACAAGTAAAAAGCGTTTTCTAGCCAAAAATTCTAAAAGGCGGGATTGTAGCTGGTTATCCGATAATGAGTTGATATTATAGTTCATCTCGGTATGATATTCTATCATCCCTTTTAGGATTTTTCTATAGTCAAAATTGGTTGTGACACACACCCACATCCTAAATTCAAAATGGTTTTTGACTCTATCGTCGTTGAAGACCACTTGGGCAAGAGTTGTCTTGCCCAATCCTCCCATCCCAATGATGGGAATCACAGAAATGTCATCTTCCCTATCAAATTCCTGGGATAGCAAGAGATTAACTACCTTATTTTTGTCATCCTCCCTACCAACCACATCAGCTTCAACCACAAAAGAACCAGTGTTCCTATTCTCATATGTGTTTCTGTTATCATTGTCATTCACATTGAGATGAAACTGTTCTTTTTCTTTAGCAATCTCATCAAGTCTTGCTAAAATTTCCTTAATCTCACTTGCCGCCTCTAATTTGTATGCAGTTTCAGTTGCACTAAAAGGACGCGGAATGTTTTGTACCTGCTGTTTTTTCTGCCACAGGCAGGCTTCAGTTGCAAAAGTCTCTAGTATGTCGTGCGCATCATAAGCTGCTTCTTTCAGCTTTCCAAGCCAATCTCTCAGTGGCCGGTTATCGAGCTGCTTTTCCTCCGCATCTTCAAGCACAGATTGGATTGCGGTTAGCTTGCTTGATAGTTTCTTAATGTCTCCCTCAACACCTTGCAGCAACTGGTACTTTTGTGTGATCAAGGAACTGGCAAGCCCAAGGACCGTCTTGACAATCGGACCTGCTACTAGTGAAACTGGGTCAGCCATAGAATGATTCGTCACTAGCACAACTATATTTACCTGAGAAGGACAAAAAAAAATAGAAAAAAAGAACAGATTACAAGATGATAATATGTTGACAAGAAGTGGAAAAAGACATAGCTCTGGCAAACTGTGATGTATTATAACATAATTGTATATAGCTTGTATAATTATCTGAGAAAAATGAAAAGATAATAAATGGAAAAAGACTGGCTTTGGCAAACTGTGATATATATATTTATATATTATGAAACACTTGTAGTACAATTACCTGAGAACAAAAAAGAAAGAATCGATGACAATTGTAAAGGGACTAGCTTTGGCAAACTGTGATGTATTATGAAATACTTGCTCCGTGTCATTCTTCATTTACCAACACATACTTATAGACACAAGAATATAAGTTGGGCACTTTCTTGGCACCTAACAAGCACGGATATGATATTTTTTAAAAAATTAGGATATGAATACGACCGGAATACATCGGATTATATATATATATATATATTATTTTCTATGTAAATAAATATAAAAGGTAAATTACGTCCGTAATCTCTGAACTTTAATTCTTATAGCATTTTGGTCATTACAATTCCAATTGGCTCGATTTTGATTATGAATTTATGATTATGTCTCAATTTAGTCCAATTGATTACAACTGTTAGCATTTTTTAGTAAAAAATATGCACAAAGTAACATGTGTCATTCTTTCAGGGGCAAAATTATAAATTTGCTCAATTTAGTGGGTTAACATCTACAAATTCATGAATAATTTTCTGTCAAAAACACTAAGAACGTCATCAATTGAACCGAATTGACATAAGATTTAAAACTAAGAGTTAAGTAGTGTTTGATAAAATTGAAAATTGAAAATTGAATGTTGATTTTTTTAAACTTAGAAGCTGCTTGATAAAAATTAAGTGCTAAACTTAAACATAATATTTGATATATACAATATACAATATCAAATTTAAAATTTATTATTTTTAATTTGTAACTTTCAATTTTTATATTGTAATGGCGGCAATGATGTCAATGGCAATGGTGGTGGAGGCAAAGAAATAGTAGTTGTAGTGATGGTGGAAGGGTAATGTGGTGGAAGTAAAAAAGGGTGGTGGTAGTTGTGTAATGATGGTGGTGATTGTAATGGTGGAATGATGGTAGTGGACTTGGCAATGGTTGCGGAGGTGTAGGGTAGTTATAATGGTGGTAGTGTCACACCCCTAACCCGCCCCTAAAGGTTTTGGGCGTGACCTAATCAGAAACAGACACTTAACCTGCTATAAATGATATTCGGAGCCTGAATGGAAGCGTTTATAATAAAATGACATGCAGACACATCCATTGAGCGACTACCAAAATGCTAGGACCGCGTCTCGAAATTAAACATAACGCGAATATGCGCCCGGAATTACGTTACATACACATTTACAAGTCCAATCCAGAGTTTGGGCATACAAAATATTAGATACAAACAACTGTGGCCAACAAAATATGGGTACAAAATGACTAAGACTAGCAAAACTGCCCTAGCATGCAAAGGGCTTCTCCAAGTGCCTGGTTATCCTTAAGCTGACAAAAGATAGATGATGATGATGATGATGATGATGATGTAAGGACTGACCTCCAAGCTGATTTCCTACAGAATCAAATATAATTACAGAGTGAGACAAGCTCAGTGAATAATAATACTCGAATAGTTAATAACCAGTTTTACCACAATGCAATATAAAAGCGAGTCTGATATGGTTTTACTTCCAGAACGGCCTGTTGGCCCAGAATTATCAGAACGGCCTGTTGGCCCAGAACAGCCTTTCGGCCCAGAATAGCCTTTCGGCCCAGAACATACAAATATGTACGTATATTTCCATTAAGTTCTAATCAATACAAAAGAAAATGTCGTAGCTGACGGAAAACAGAAAGTTCTTAACAGACATTAGCGATAAATAAATGCACATTCATTGTACTATTACTCAAAGCGTTGTGATGGCGTGCTAGTTCCTTCCGGAGTGTGCCCTACACACAATCATAACGTGTAAATTAGTTCTCTTTCTTCTTAAATCATTGAGGAACTATTCCCTGTGTCATTACACTTCACATGAATTTATAACCATCTTAAAATCATCAGAAAAATATTCTAAAAATGCTAGAGAGTCAAGCATGCAAAACTGAACAAACACATTTGTTTTTGAAAATAAGTCCTTCGCTCGAGCGCCACTTTGGCCGCTCGAGCGGACTGTTCCAGTCACAAAAGTGCTGGGAGGTCGATTTTCCTGCTCGAGCGGGCATGTCTTCCGCTCGAGCGGTCGTGGCCCAGATTTGGGACAGCTCGATTTCAACTCGAAATTTAGCAACGACACCTTATTTTACATGCAATCTAAGGTTAGATTAATGCAATATTTCAACCTAACATCACCATAACATAGACTCCACCTTGAACATAACAAATTAAACTAGATTAGAAGCTTCAACAAGCCATTCCTTTCTCAAATTCCATTCTTATATTCAAGTTCTTCATGTTCAAAGAAAACATAACACATGATACTAACATAATTCCATAGGATGATGATATAAAACCAAAGATTGAAGTATAATTTCACACAACACCCAAATAAAGTGTCAAAGTAACCAATTGATGAGAAACTCTCATAAATCAAACATGCATCATACATGAATCAAACATAAACATCAATTATAACTTTCCCAACCTTCTCATTATTTTGGGTTTACATAATTATTTCTCATTCAAACTCATAATTGAATATTCTCATGAAATAACAAGGAAATAAGATGTAGATTTCCCCCCATAACTCAATTTGATTCTTTAATAGGGATTACCACATAAACCCTCAACATCTACTTTAACTTGCCAAACACAAAGAGAATTCCCAACCATAATCAAGAGAGAGAGAGAGAGAGAGAGAGAGAGAGAGAGTAGCTAGATAAAATAAATTTTCATACCTTGAGTTTAATCTAAGCAATCTTCACAAAATTCCCCAAATCCTTCACTTGAAGGCCTTCTCTTCAACTCTCACGAAATTCCCTCTTCTAGGTTGCACACAGGAGGTGTTTTCAAGTCAAAGACATCTTAAAGCTTGATATAGATATTTATGTTTATAATAAGACAAAATTTAATCGTTTAAGCATCCTAAATTGAAATTTCATAGAAAATCCCATTAGAGTTTAAAAATTATGCAGATTCCAAATATCAAATCAATTTCTGAAAATTAAGCCTCTAAGGCGCCCAATTTCAGATTCAAATAGTCTATAGTGACAGATAATTCCCTTATTCAACAGATAGGAATCCATATGGCTAAGTTTCATGTAATTCAATGTACTTTCACATAGAATTTCATAATATGCATTCAAAAACACAAAATAGAGGGCTGAAAAGATACCGGGGTCATGTACGAGGGTCGGGCTATTACACTCTCCCCCCCTTAATTAAGTTTGGTCCTCCAAACTTGTTTTACCTTAGGACGTAAACAGATGCGGATATTGGTGTTGCATTTCCTCTTCCTTTTCCCAAGTTGCCTCGGTTCCGTAGTGCTCTTGCCACTCCACTTTCACCATTGGAATTTCCCGGTTCCATAACTATTTCACCTGACGGTCCAGAATTCGAATTGGTTTTTCCTCGTATGTTAACTTATCAGTCAGCATAATTTGGTGATAATCGATAATATGTGATGGATCCGGGAGGTATCCTCGGAGCATAGAAACGTGAAACACATTATGAATTTGGCTCATATGTGGCGGAAGGGCAACTCGGTAGGCTACTGGACCTACTTTTTCTAAGATCTGAAAAGGACCAACATATCGGGGTGTCAGCTTACCCCTTTTTCCGAATCTTGGGTGTCCTTTCATTGGGGTAACTTTCATGAAAACATGACTGTCCACGTCAAACTCCAAATTTCTGCGCCGGTTATCCGCATAACTCTTCTGTCTACTCTGAGCAGTTTTCAATCTTTCTTGAATAATTCTAACCTTTTCAGTTGTCAATTGGACAATCTCTGGCCCTAACAAGGGCCTATCTCCAACCTCAGCCCAACACACGGGAGAACGACACGGTCTTCCATATAGGGCTTCATAGGGTGCCATTTCAATACTCGAGTGATAACTGTTATTATATGCAAACTCAACCAACGGCAGATGAGTTTCCCAACTTTCCTGAAAATCCAAAATACACATTCGAAGCATATCTTCTAGCGTCTGAATTGTCCTCTCGGATTGTCCATCTATTTGAGGGTGGAAAGCTGTGCTAAACTTTAATTCCGTACCCATTGCATTCTGTAGACCTTGCCAGAACCTTGAAACAAATTTGGGATCTCTATCTGACACAATTGAAACCGGAACACCGTGAAGCCTTACAATTTCATTCACATAGATCACAGCAAGTTTATCGGCATTATACTGGGTCTTCACAGGCAGGAAGTGGGCGGACTTTGTTAATCGGTTGACAATGACCCATATAGAATTCATCCCTCGGGCTGTTCGTGGTAAGCCTACAACAAAATCCATGGTCAGATGTTCTCATTTCCACTCCGGAATTGGAAGGGGTTGTAATAATCCTGCGGGCCTCTGATGCTCTGCTTTTACCTGCTGACATTGCAAACACTTAGAAACAAACTCTGCGATTTCTTTCTTCATACTTGGCCACCAAAAATGTCTCTTCAAATCCCGGTACATTTTAGTACTTCCTGGATGCATTGAAACTTTTGAGGCATGTGCTTCTTTCATCAATCTCCGTTTAAGTTGTAACACATTAGGAACACATATTCGGTTTTGAAATTTAAGCACAGAATCTGTCAAAGTGAATCCTAGTTTCGATTTTGTCTCCATTTCATCACGCATCTTCTTTAAAGCTCCATCCTCCATTTGGCGTATTTTAATCTCCTCAAGTAATGTCGGTTGAGCCATGATTGTTGCCATTGTTGCCCCTTGACCATGCATCGCCAAGGCGACCCCCATCTTATTCAACTCATTCATCAACTCCTTTTCCCCTGTCAATAAACTTGCCAAATCCCCCATATTTCTCCGGCTAAGTGCGTCTGCCACCGTGTTGGCTTTACCGGGATGATAGTGGATCTGTAAATCATAATCTTTAATAAGCTCCAACCATCGCCGCTGACGCATATTCAACTCCTTTTGGGTAAAAATGTATTTGAGACTTTTATGGTCGGTATAAATGTCGCAAGTAGTTCCATACAGATAATGCCGCCAAATTTTTAAAGCAAAAACGACTGCAGCTAGCTCAAGATCATGCGTGGGGTAGCCCTTCTCATGGGATTTAAGCTGGCGAGAAGCATAAGCAATAACTCTTCCACTTTGCATAAGCACACAACCAAGTCCTTTATGTGATGCATCGCTGTAAATCACAAATCCCTCCGTACCAGACGGTAGAGCAAGGACCGGGGCTGTAGTTAACTTCATTTTTAATTCTTGGAAGGCAGATTTCCGCGGTTCCATCCATTCAAATGCAACTCCCTTTTTAGTCAACTGTGTGAGTGGTACAGCAATCTTAGAAAAATCCTGAACAAATCTTCGATAATAGCCGGCTAATCCCATGAAACTATGCACTTCAGTCACATTAGTCGGGGTCGGCCAGTTTACAATCGCCCCAATCTTGTTTGGATCAACAGAGACTCTTTCCTTAGTTATAACATGCCCCAGAAATGTCACTTCATGTAGCCAAAATTCACACTTTTTTAGCTTTGCGTACAACTTCTTTTCTCGGAGGGTTTGAAGGATTAAGCGAAGATGATTTTCATGGACCTCTGCATTCCTTGAGTAAATAAGGATGTCGTCAATAAAGACCACTACAAACTCATCCAGATAAGGTTTGAAGACACGGTTCATTAGATCCATAAATGCTGCTGGTGCGTTCGTAACTCCAAAGGGCATAACCAAAAATTCATAATGACCGTATCGGGTTCGAAAAGCTGTCTTCTCAACATCATCAGCTTTAACTTTCAATTGGTGGTATCCGGACCGTAAGTCAATCTTAGAAAAGACCTGTGATCCTTGTAATTGGTCAAATAAATCGTCGATCCGTGGTAAGGATACTTATTCTTGATTGTTACTTTATTAAGCTCTCGGTAATCTATACATAATCGGAGTGTTCCATCTTTCTTTTTCACAAACAGGACTGGTGCACCCCACGGAGAAACACTAGGGCGGATAAACCCTTTATCCAATAAATCTTGCAATTGAATATTCAATTCCCTCATTTCAGCTGGCGCCATTCGATACGGGGTTTTAGAGATGGGTTGGACTCCCGGTAGCACTTCAATTGTGAATTCAATTTCACGGTCCACTAATTCTCCTGGCAATTCTTCCGGAAAGACGTCCGAAAATTCACAGACAACTGGAATCGCACCAATATTCTCATTCGTTGTTGGCCCTTCCAAAACACTACATAAGTACCCTTGACACCCTTTCTGAATTAATTTACAAGCCCTAGCTGCAGAAATCACATACGGTGGAGAAGTCACTCCTTGCCCCTGAAAAGTAGATTCTGATTGTCCTGGAGGGTGGAATTTGATTTGCTTTGTCAGACAGTCGATGGTGGCACTATATTCACCCAACCAATCCATCCCCAGAATAATATCAAAAGAAGTCATATCAAGTGGTAATAAATTAGCATATACACGGATATCTCCAATGAGGAGTTCACAAGCAGAACAGACAGAAGTACAGATCATGGAATTTCCCATAGGTGAAGATACACACAACACATAAGTCAATTCTTCTTCAGGTTTATCTAGGTTTTTCGCAAATAATTTTGACACAAAGGAACAGGTAGAGCCAGAATCAAATAAAACGTGAGCAGAATGACCATGAACCATAAATGTACTTGACACCACTGTGGTTGCATTCTGTACATCTCTCGGAACCAACGCAAATACCCTACCTTGCCTCGTAGTATCCTTATTGTTAGCAGGTTTAGCAGCTGACTTGGCATTAGGAACTGGTGTAAACCCTGCTGAGCTTGTGGCGGCCTTATTACCAGTTTGTTGATTCTTTTGCGGACAGTCCTTTATCAAATGCCCCGTTTTGCCACATCGAAAACATGCCCCAGACAATCGGCGACAAATTCCTCGATGCCTCCATCCACATTCTGGACACACAGGAGCTGAATTTTGAGGAGAAGTAGTAGTGTTGGAGGTCCCTGAATTTTGCTTCTTATTTGGTGGAGTAGTTGACCCCTTGAACCCTTGGTTGTTCTGCCTTTTTCCTTTCCATTCAGAAATCCGAGTCTGAGCAGCAATATTCCCTTCTGCTATAACAACTCTTTCTAACACATCAACGTAGGTGGGTAACTTCAACACATTAACTCGGTCCAGAATAATACTCCGCAATCCTCCCTCAAATTTTCGCGCTTTCTTGTATTCTGTATCTACCATGTGAGGTGCAAATCGGGCTAGTTCTGCGAATTGAGCTTCATATTCGGCAACAGTTTTATTTCCTTGTCTCAATGTTTCGAATTCGGTCACCTTCTTGTCCCGCATACTTTGGGGAAAATATTTATCATAAAATAGCTCTAAAAATCTGTCCCATGTCAGCCCCTGATACATTGTTCTTGTGAGCATCCACCACCTTCGCGCCTCATCTTCAAGAGTAAAAGCAGCAAGCTGCACCTTTTGGATTTCAGTACAAGGGAAAACTTCGAATAACTTTTCTATTCCCAATACCCATGCCTCAGCTTTCATCGGTTCGATTCCGCCTTTAAACACTGGCGGTTTCATCTTTTTAAATTCCTTTGTAAGTGTAATGATTCTATCTTCAGCATGGAACTCTTGTACTGCTGGGGGAGGTATTGGTGGTGGCGGCGGTTGTTCTTGTGGTTGTTGTTGTTGTTGTTGTTGTTGTTGTCGACGTAAGGTCTCTGCCATTTCCATAATCATTCTCTCCATCCTGTCCAACCGGGCAGTCGTAGCACCTTCCTGCTCCTCTGTCCGTGTTCTCACCATGATCTACACAACAATCAAGTACAACATACACAAAAGAATGCAATAGACATTGGTCATCACCATTAACATTAGCAGAAAACATTTAACGTTGCTATCAATCTTCCTTTACTACATGATGCCTATAAATTTCTAGACATCCTAAAGCTCAATGGATCCGTGTGTGAGATAGCAACTCGTGCTCTGATACCACTTGTCACGCCCCTAACCCGCCCCTAAATAAATCTTGCAATTGAATCTTCAATTCCCTCATTTCAGCTGGCGCCATTCGATACGGGGTTTTAGAGATGGATTGGACTCCCGGTAGCACTTCAATCGTGAATTCGATTTCACGGTCCACTAATTCTCCTGGCAATTCTTCCGGAAAGACGTCCGGAAATTCACAGACAACTGGAATCGCATCAGTATTCTCATTTATTATTGGCCCTTCCAAAATACTACATAAATACCCCTGACACCTTTTCTGAATTAATTTACAAGCCCTTGCTGCAGAAATCACATACTCTGGAGAAGTTACTCCCTGTCCTTGAAAAGTAAATTCTGATTGCCCCGGAGGGTGGAATTTGATTTGCTTCGTCAGACAGTCTATAGTGGCACTATATTCACCCAACCAATCCATTCCCAGAATAATATCAAAAGAAGTCATATCAAGTGGTAATAGATTAGCATATACACGGATATCTCCAATGAGAAGTTCACAAGCAGAATATACAGAGGTACAGATCATGGGTATTTCCTGGATTCTCACTAAATGGCCCAAATTAGGTTAGAATAATCAAATAGTAGTAGTATCTTCACCAATAGATCAACACATACATCCAACCCTCCATTACAACTCTAGGTTACACAATATTAAGAAATTCCTTCCCCAAATTAAAAAGGAAAGGGTTGAATTAGGAGAATTGGACTTACCTTAAGCTTCACCCCTTAGATGCCCCTTCAATTTCACAATTCTCTACCTCTTTTGATGATCTTGTCTCCCTACTTTGCTTCCTGGATGTATTGAAAACCTTGAGGCATGTGCTTCTTCCATTAGTTTTCGTTTAAGTTCTAACACATTAGGAACACATATTCGGTTTTGAAATTTAAGCACAGAATCTGTCAAAGTGAATCCTAGTTTCGGTTTTGTCTCCATTTCATCACGTATCTTCTTTAAAGCTCCATCCTCCATTTGGCGTATAGGAAATAAGATGTAGATTTCCCCCCATAGGACACCTTATTTTACATGCAATCCAAGGTTAGATTAATGCAATATTTCAACCTAACATCACCATAACATAGATTCCACCTTGAACATAACAAATTAAACTAGATTAGAAGCTTCAACAAGCCATCCCTTTCTCAAATTCCATTCTTATATTCAAGTTCTTCATGTTCAAAGAAAACATAATACATGATACTAACATAATTCCATAGGATGATGATATAAAACCAAAGGTTGAAGTATAATTTCATACAACACCCAAATAAAGTGTCAAAGTAACCGATTGATGAGAAACTCTCATAAATCAAACATGCATCATACATGAATCAACATAAACATCAATTATAACTTTCCCAACCTTCTCATTATTTTGGGTTTACATAATTATTTCTCATTCAAACTCATAATTGAATATTCTCATGAAATAACAAGGAAATAAGATGTAGATTTCCCCCCATAACTCAATTTGATTCTTTAATAGGGATTACCACATAAACCCTCAACATCTACCTTAACTTGCCAAACACAAAGAGAATTCCCAACCATAATCAAGAGAGAGAGAGAGAGAGAGAGAGAGAGAGTAGCTAGATAAAATAAATTTTCATACCTTGAGTTTAATCTAAGCAATCTTCACAAAATTCCCCAAATCCTTCACTTGAAGGCCTTCTCTCCAACTCTCACGAAATTCCCTCTTCTAGGTTGCACACAGGAGGTGTTTTCAAGTCAAAGACATCTTAAAGCTTGATATAGATATTTATGTTTATAATAAGACAAAATTTAATCGTTTAAGCATCCTAAATTGAAATTTCACAGAAAATCCCATTAGAGTTTAAAAATTATGCAGATTCCAAATATCAAATCAATTTCTGAAAATTAAGCCTCTAAGGCGCCCAATTTCAGATTCAAATAGTCTATAGTGACAGATAATTCCCTTATTCAACAGATAGGAATCCATATGGCTAAGTTTCATGTAATTCAATGTACTTTCACATAGAATTTCATAATATGCATTAAAAAACACAGAATAGAGGGCTGAAAAGATATCGGGGTCATGTACGAGGGTCGGGCTATTACACTCTCCCCCCCTTAATTAAGTTTGGTCCTCCAAGACTAGCAAAACTGCCCTAGCATGCAAAGGGCTTCTCCAAGTGCCTGGTTATCCTTAAGCTGACAAAAGATGGATGATGATGATGATGTAAGGACTGACCTCCAAGTTGATTTCCTACAGAATCAAATATAATTACAGAGTGAGACAAGCTCAGTGAATAATAATACTCGAATAGTTAATAACCAATTTTACCACAATGCAATATAAAAGTGAGTCTGATATGGTTTTACTTCCAGAACGGCCTGTTGGCCCAGAATTATCAGAACAGCCTTTCGGCCCAGAATAGCCTTTTGGCCCAGAACATACAAATATGTACGTATATTTCCATTAAGTTCTAATCAATACAAAAGAAAATGTCGTAGCTGACGGAAAACAGAAAGTTCTTAACAGACATTAGCGATAAATAAATGCACATTCATTGTACTATTACTCACAGCGTTGTGATGGCGTGCTAGTTCCTTCCGGAGTGTGCCCTACACACAATCATAACTTGTAAATTAGTTCTCTTTCTTCTTAAATCATTGAAGAACTATTCCCTGTGTCATTACACTTCACATGAATTTATAACCATCTTAAAATCATCAGAAAAATATTCTAAAAATGCCAGAGAGTCAAGCACGCAAAACTGAACAAACACATTTGTTTTTGAAAATAAGTCCTTTGCTCGAGCGCCACTTTGGCCGCTCGAGCGGACTGTTCCAGTCACAAAACTGCTGGGAGGTCAATTTTCCCGCTCGAGCGGGCATGTCTTCCGCTCGAGCGGTCGTGGCCCAGATTTGGGACAGCTCGACTTCAACTCGAAATTTAGCAACGACACCTTATTTTACATGCAATCCAAGGTTAGATTAATGCAATATTTCAACCTAACATCACCATAACATAGACTCCACCTTGAACATAACAAATTAAACTAGATTAGAAGCTTCAACAAGCCATTCCTTTCTCAAATTCCATTCTTATATTCAAGTTCTTCATGTTCAAAGAAAACATAACACATGATACTAACATAATTCCATAGGATGATGATATAAAACCAAAGATTGAAGTATAATTTCACACAACACCCAAATAAAGTGTCAAAGTAACCAATTGATGAGAAACTCTCATAAATCAAACATGCATCATACATGAATCAAACATAAACATCAATTATAATTTTCCCAACCTTCTCATTATTTTGGGTTTACATAATTATTTCTCATTCAAACTCATAATTTAATATTCTCATGAAATAACAAGGAATAAGATGTAGATTTCCCCCCATAACTCAATTTGATTCTTTAATAGGGATTACCACATAAACCCTCAACATCTACCGTAACTTGCCAAACACAAAGAGAATTCCCAACCATAATCAAGAGAGAGAGAGAGAGAGAGAGAGAGAGAGAGAGTAGCTAGATAAAATAAATTTTCATACCTTGAGTTTAATCTAAGCAATCTTCACAAAATTCCCCAAATCCTTCACTTGAAGGCCTTCTCTCCAACTCTCACGAAATTCCCTCTTCTAGGTTGCACACAGGAGGTATTTTCAAGTCAAAGACATCTTAAAGCTTGATATAGATATTTATGTTTATAATAAGACAAAATTTAATCGTTTAAGCATCCTAAATTGAAATTTCACAGAAAATTCCATAAGAGTTTAAAAATTATGCAGATTCCAAATATCAAATCAATTTCTGAAAATTAAGCCTTTAAGGCGCCCAATTTCAGATTCAAATAGTCTATAGTGACAGATAATTCCCTTATTCAGCAGATAGGAATCCATATGGCTAAGTTTCATGTAATTCAATGTACTTTCACATAGAATTTCATAATATGCATTCAAAAACACAGAATAGAGGGCTGAAAAGATACCGGGATCATGTACGAGGGTCGGGCTATTACAGGTAGAGAGATGGTTGTAATGACAATGACAACTGTGATGGTGGAGTGGTGGTAATAGTGAAATAATGGTAGTGCCTATGCAACGATGATAATGGTGATGGAGGTTGTGGTAGTGATAGTTGTGGTGGTGGCAATAGATGTAGCTGTGGCGTGATGGTTGTGGTCATAGTGGTGATGGTGGCGTAGTAGTAGTGGTGGTGGCAATAGCTAGTGGTGATAATGGTGACGATGGTAAGAGTGGTGGTGGGGATGGCAACAGTGGTGAGCTTATAAACATGTATGTCAACATGTATGAATAAGTATTTATAAATTCAATTAGAATTAAGCGAGTTTTCTATCACTCAAAAATTTTCTTAATTTCTAGTCTACATTTTAAGAGTCAATTTTAACTGATACTAATTGTGGTTATCAAACAATCTAAATGAGTTTTCACTTAATATATTCAGTTTTAAGTATTAAATTAGGTGAGATCAAACATTATCTTAAAATTGATCTAATTGAAAGTATAGAAATTAAAATGATACAAAAGATAAAATATAAGAACTATATGCATAATTTGCCCAAACATAAATTTGGGACGCAGAGATATGAGATATAAGTGACATCTGTATATATGCGTGTACTTTTATTTTTTCACTTTTTCCTTCTCTATATTTTTATATATTTTAGGCGGACCTAGATCAATTATAAAAGTAAATAAATAAATCAACACGGAGATCCGTAAAGTGCTCAAATATATTTTGCAAAAATAATATTAATTAAAACAATTTACATGCAATATGACATGTCTAACACATAGAAATACATATTCGTAACTTGTAAGTACTAACACGCATTATGCGTACTGTGTCGAGCACAACACCTACACGGAACGCGTTGAACGCTACACCTACAATCAATTTTTATAATTTTTTATTACACATTTTTCAATAAAAAATCAAAAAGTTAACCCAAACATCCATATTTTCAACCTCAATTTTTTAATCTAAAAAGACAAAAAGTACACTTTTTTAATCTTCCCAAACTTAACCTAATTAAAACAATTTACATGCAATATGACATGTCTAACACATAGAAATACATATTCGTAACTTGTAAGTACTAACACGCATTATGCGTACTGTGTCGAGCACAACACCTACACGGAACGTGTTGAACGCTACACCTACTTTGCATAGTCAGTGGTTTCTAGAGGGACCCCCATAACGCGTAGAAATGCTTTCTAGGGGCCAAATTCATTTCGTATTCCTCGGAAACTTCCACAGTTTTATGAAGACTTGAACAAGTCACCTTGTGAGTCGTCTTCCTTGAAAACTTCTACAGTTTTATGAAGGAAGACTTGAACAAGTCACCTTGTGAGGAAACAAAGGACTTGGCGCCTCTCTAGTTATTGGAGAGAGTGGTTTGGTATTGGTGGGTTCTATTCTAAGCTCATATTGATAATTGAAACTGTTCAATATGTAGAATTTGTCGAGTATATTATTCTTGCAAAAAATCACGTTGATTTGATATCAATAGCCATTTGATCAGATTACATTTCTATCACAATTTACTTTGAAAATTTATTTAAAATTTATTTTGAAAATGTGATTTGATTAAGTGGTTATCGATGTTCAATCAACGTGATTTTTTGTAAGAATGATGAATACGTGTTATACATATTGAACTGTTTGAATTATCAACATGGGCCTAGAATAGGGTCCACCAATGCCGAACAACCCTTTCTAATAACTGGAGAAAAACAGAAATTAATCAGTAGATAACAACAACTAGAGAAGTTATTGGTTGGTTTAGGGGTAGCATCACGTGGCGCTCTGCATAAATTGTGATTGGTGGAGAGGATGAGGTCTACAATTTTGTGTTTGGTGATTGGAGAATATGAAGAGACATGAGGATTTGTGATTGGCTTGGGGCATGCCCACGTGGTGCCCTTAGACCAATCAATAATTTGACCAATTGGAGATAAAAATAAATGATGAAAAGTGATAATAGTACAAAGTGAAATAAAAGAAAAGAATATATAGTTTTTAGTATGAATTTGATTAGGATGGAAATTATGTAAGAAAATAGGAATACTAATTATAAGTAACTATTTTTATAACAAAGTACAAAATATATTTTACCCTTTCTGGTATGACCACTTTACCCCATGTCTTTTAAAAATAGGCACATACCTCCCATATGATTTTGGAATAAAATGTTACAGTTATATTTTTCATTCAAACTAATCGAGGGTGTATCTCGCATACCTTTTTGAGAGGGGAAAAAAAAAATTAGTCAAACTTAAATTTTAGTATAAGAAGATGAAAGTAGCCTTCTTTTACGTTTTTTTAAAAAAAAAAAAAATCTAAATTTCTTATTTAATAACATTTTAAATTAAACATGTACATATATAAAACAAATTAAATCATAAATTAACCTAAATAATTTAATTTATTACCATAAAATCTTAATTTAATTTTTAATTTTTAATTAACCCAATTATTATTTAATAACATTTTAAATTAAACATGTACATATATATTTAACAAATTAAATCATAAATCAATTATAGTGTGTATATATATATACATGTATATCATAATATCTAATTAAAATTAAAAATTAAGTTTGTTAAAAAAATATTTAGAAAACTTTAGACCCCATTTGGTTTGGTTTTGAAATGAGTTTTTAAATTAAAAATATTTGTTTGATTGTATATTTTGAAAATAATTTTATACTTGGAGTTTTGGAGTTTGAAGTTTAGTAGTTTGGGATGATTTATATATATATTTTTTCCCTGTATTTTTTGCAAAAAATTAGAAGCTGAGTTGCTATAATGAATTGTATAGGAAAATTAACTTCCTTGCAACTTCCTTCATTTTCATGCTAAACAAATTTAGAAAAATTTATTTATTTTTTTGTTTCCTTCACTTTCCTTCACTTTTTATTTTTTTTATTTCCTTCACTTATTTCCTACAATATGGGATTTTTACATGTTATTTAAAAAGATAAAATTAGTTTTTTCTCCCTTCAAAAACAAGAAGGATAAATTATTACAAAATTGAACAAGATAAAATATAAGCTTGTTGCATTATAACTTACCCGTTTACAAGAAGGAAAAATGCCGAACAAAGATCTAGAAAAAACAAAAATAAAAATTGAACAACCACAATGTTATTTATTTAAATATTTCCACATTTTTAATTACAAAATTGAACCAAGATCTCCCACCTGAAATTGAATTAATTCATCTTTTGTTTCTTCTTTTTTCATCTTGTCATATCCATATAAATACTTTATGAGAAATATAATTAAATAAACAATCCAATCCACAGTCCAACACACAACACAACAATCAGTTCAATTTTTAAAGATTTCCATTTTCAAGCAATTTTAACAAACATTTGAAATAAATCTTGGAATGATACAAATTCTAAAATGCAAATACAAAATATCAAAATCTAAGAAAGTCAATCTCAAATGGCGAATTGCGTTAGTAAAAATTTGAAAAAGTAAGAATATATTACTTTGGGCTCTCCACTAATAAGAATAAAAATAATTCTATTTTTAGGTTTAGCATTATTAGTTAATTAGGGTCCTCAACGATTAAAAGTAATTTTATTTTTGAGTTTGGTATTGAGAGTTGGACTTTAGTGGGTTTTGATACGTTAAAATTAAAATAATTGAGGCTTAACAAAAAGAATTGTCTTAATATAAAAAATTTGGGTAAATTACACCTCTTGTCCTTGTAGTTTGAACGAAATTTCACTTTAATTTTCATAATTTCACTTTAAATAATTTGACACTTACACTTCCAATTTTTTATTACAATGTTGTTCCTCTGTCATACGTTATTAATGTCACACCCTGATTTCAAGAGGTCTAATATGAAAATATGATTGGTCTTGAGGAGTCCTTGAAAAATATTAATACATAAGAATCTTTAAGACAATGGGATATAAAGAAACGCCTCCAACAAATATATTCTATTGCACAAATTTCACCAATGGTCCTGTAATTTTATTTGAGTTTCATTTTGGTCTCTACCATTTTAATTTGAACACTTTTATCCTCAAATTATTCATTTAGTGTCAATCAAGAACAATAATAAACTGAGGTTAAGGTTTTGGATGAAAAATATGTAGGACAATCTTCACTATATTTAAATAAATTAAATTCTGTTGTGTACTAAACAACAATAAGAATATAAAGAAATAAAGGAAATGAGAGAATTTGTTTGATTACAAAAATCAAACTCGAAATAAAAATAAATAAATAAAAACAGATTTTATTTTGTTACAAAAACAAAATTAAAATATGATTTAAGTAAATAATAATAACATTGAAAATAAATTAAATAACTTACTTGATTTAATTTTTTCGAATTATAATCTGATCAAGTCCAGTGTTTGACACTGTGTCCTTAAGATAGATTCGTCCTCTCCACGGTGCTTTCAGAAACACTGTGTCCTTAAGACAGATTCGTCCTCTCCACAGTGCTTTCAGAATTTTGGACGTCTATCTCCCAGGATGAAATGATCTACTACAAACAATAGCAGCACTACAAATTGTTTGCCTTACGAACACACTAAGTGTACTCTTTCTCACAAGAAAATAATGCAACAAAATGAAGAATAAATTTGCAGAGCTCTCAAGGACGAAAATAATGAATTTTCTGAAAATTAAACATCAAATGAGGGTTGTCCTATTTATAGATGTAAAGGTGGCTGCAGGTTTTGAATTCAAACAGATTAGTATTGGGCCAAACAAGCCCAACCACACACCACGCACTAGCGCCCAGGCCCAGGCCAGCCTGACCGAACGGACGGCGACGTGTGCATGTGGTGATTTTTGGGTCTAGCCCATTTTACTCATAACCTCTCCCTCTAAAACACTTGGGTGCCCCTTGGGGCACACCCCAAGTACCAAACCCATGTCTTATAAACCCATTCAAAACTTCCCACCAAATCAATGT